GAGGTGAGGTGAAAGAGGGAGAGGCCGTCCGCCCTATCGCACTGTAAGAAAAGCTGCAGGTCATCTACCCAGACGTCAAAGTCAATGGCTCGACCCTCAGCGTCAAAAGCGAGGACACTAGGGGTAGCCATGACAGCAGTAGACTAGTAGGGCGAACAGTGGTGTAAGGGCAGTGTTGTGGTAGAGGCGCTGCTCTTACCGGACAGGGCGGCTCGGGCGGCTAGGCGGCTCGGCGGCCCGGTAGGAACTGCAGCTTGGCGGCTTGGGCGGCTTGGGCGGCTCGGCGGCAACTGCGGCTCGGCGACTCGGCAGCTCAGGCGGCTCGGGCGGCTTGGCAGTACGGCGGCTCAGCGGCAACTGCTGCTCAGCTTGCGGCACCCCGGCGGCTCGGGTGGCTTGGGCGGCTCAGGTGGTGAGGTGGCTCGGGCGGCTCGGGTGGCGCTGGCGGCTTGGTGGTGATGGCGGGGCCGCGTGAAGGCGGGGCTGGGGCCGGGAAGGGCGGGCGACGGGGCCAGCAGTGGCTGGGCCGGGGCCGGGAAGGGCAACGCCGGGGCCAAGAAGGGCGGCTTGGGGCCGCACGGGTAGGCGACGGAGCCAGTAGAGGCTGGGCCGGGGCCAGGAAGGGCGGCTCAGGGCCGCAGAGGTAGGCGACGGGGCCAGCAGAGGCGGGGCCGGGTCGGGAAGGGCGGCGTCGGGGCCGGAAAAGGGCGGCGCCGGGGCCGTGGGGTAGGCGACGGGGCCAGCAGAGGCTGGGCCGGGTCGGGAAGGGCGGCGTCGAGGTCGGGAAAGGGCGGCGCCGGGGCCGCAGGGCGGCGGATCGGGGCCGGGAAGGGCGGCGCCGGGGCCGGGAAGGGCGGCGCCAGGGCCGTGGGGCTAGGTGACGGGGCCAGCAGAGGCGGGGCCGGGTCGGGAAGGGCGGCGTCGGGGCCGGGAAGGGCAGCGCCGGGGCCGCAGGAGTAGGCGATGGGGCCGCTAGGGCGGCGGATCGGGGCCGCGAGGGCGGCGCGATGCAACCGCTAGGGCGGCGTGACGGGATGGGGCCGCAAGGGCGACGCGACGGGGCCGCTAGCGCGACTCGACAGGGCCGCTAAGGCGGCGCGACAGGGTCGAGAGAGGGGAGCGTGACTCGGGCAGGGGCTGAGCGCACTCTGGGCAGGAAAAAAAACAAATCGAATCGGTGGGCCCTAGGAACAGTTCCCACGAGAGAACCTGCTCTAATACCATGAGAAAACTAGAACGAGGAATGAAAATGACTAGGTGAAAGTTGGGTACAAATACAAACCCCTAGAAAGCTGTACCCCATATGTGCTACCCCACTATAGCCTACAATAGCTATATCATATAAATCTGACATTATTATGCTATTTCTAGCATAGGATAATTATATGCATGCATGAATTGCTTGATTTCCTAGGCTAGGTGCTTTCCTATATTTTATTATAGTTATAGCACTGAGCTAGGTTGCGTGCACCGAATTCTGGGCATTTCGGTTGCCACCGAATTCAGGAAGGATCTGTTCGGGACGCTTCGCGACCCGCGGAACCTTCGCGTAACACCTGGCTACTAGGCCTTCTATCGAGCCTATATATAGCCTCGTGTTGTACCCAGGTGATCATTCAATTCAATTACAATTCTCTTTTCTGAGCTCGATCATAGATCCTCACACTTGGTAATCGAGCCCGTTTACACGAGAAGTTTTTTCGACTGCTCAAACCAGTCTTAAAAAACCGCGGGGGTGACGCAGTTAAACATCGATTTCGGGTATGTAAAACCGGTTCCGTGTTTTTTTGCTCCCCCTCGATTCGGTTTTTCGGACGCGCTAATGTCACGCATGGAGGGCCAAGGCGGCAACTACGCGACCACGAGCGACATCGCGAGCCTTAGCACCGACATGGAGCAGACGCACGCGACGCTTTGTCGACTCAAGGCCCTTCTGACACACCAACGAGGGATCGCCACCGCAGCAGCAGCGAATGCAGCACGGACAACACCCGCAGCAGTGGAGACACCGACATATCACGGACCGATGGCACCACTATCGCCGAACCTCAAAGCAGCACGACCGAGGCTCCCTGAGGCGTTCGATCCAAGCGCGAAGGGATCCGACGTCCGGCGATTCGTGGCAACCTTCGAAATTTACTTCGAGGCCATTGGCTGTTCGACCCCGCAACACGACGCATCACGGATTCGGCTCGCAACGACACTGTTACATGGACCAGCACTTGAATGGATTTACTACATCGACGTAGCCCGCGGGGAGAAAACGTGGCAGCAGTTTCGGGCAGATTTAATCAAACGTTTCGAACCGATTAATACTGCTGCTGCTGCTGAGGCAGAGCGATTCTCGTAGGTGAAGCCTACTCCGCGGACGAGGCAGCTAGGCTTATTTGCGTCTAGTATCTTTGGGGCGCGTGTGATATTTTTTGAAGTTCGGAAAAAAGGTCGAACTTTGAGTGGTTACCAGCTTGTCAATGTCGTCAAGAAGCTTTGGCGAAGGCATGAGAATTTTGGGGGCACACAAGTGCGAATGTCAAATGTGAACTCACCTTGAATCACACGGATGAACGTGAGGGTGCACGTGAGGCGAGTGTGTGTTGTTTTCAGAACTTGCGAAATCCATGCAAAAAGCATTATTGCTTTGCGAAGGTCGCGGAGATTCCTTGCGCATTACTTTGATGTGTCGCGCTGTAGCAGGTAACCTACGCTCCCTACGGGCGGCTGGACGCCTTCTCTAAAAGGTCGAATCTCTGTGTTCGACCTTGGGTGTGTGATTGTGGAGAGAATTGCCGCGGCGAGGGCTTTTCCCTCGTGAATTTTTTTCATCGCGCTCAAATTTTTACACAACCCGAAAGACACACCATCCACCTTCTATCGCGAGCGGTATGCGCTCCCCAGATTTAACTTCATTTAACCATTATGAGGGTTTTTTTTTTTGTGGGTTCCAAATTGTAGGTGGGCAGTTCCCTAGTTGACATCGAACTTCCGTGCCACGCAGTATCATCCTATTGGGCATTTCTCTCCTGATAGTGTGGAAGTCGGTTCGGTGAACGTGTGGCGCGTCTTGGCTCGGCAATCCATTTCGGTTCACAACAGTGGGGGAATGGAGGCTTGTGGGGTTGAACGTGGCGACCCAACGCTGGCCAGTGTTATTTAACCATTCTTTCCGGCGTGCCAGGCGTATCTACAGAGACGTTACCGTGAACCTGCGCTACACAACTTCATCTGTCGGGCGACTCGGTTGAATTCTGTCGTTCTGAACTAGCTTCCACGTGCGAGGACTTACGACAAACACGTCATGCAAGAATGCATGTGAATCGTTGTGTTGGCGGCGGCTTCGCGAGTTTCTGAACGGTCCGTTCATATTTCCAATTATCGCGCCACTTTTACATATACATGTCAGGCATATATGCTATAGGTTGTGTAGGCTGTAGTGGGGCAGTTCATATGGGGTACAACACTTTAGGGTTTCCTACTTGTACTCCCCTTCCTGCTGAATGCATCCATTCTCGTTTCTCGTCATGGTATCGAGCAGGTTCCCTAGTGGAAACGCTACCTAGGACTTACCACGATACTTTTTTTTTTCCTGCCTGGAGCGCTCTTCACTCCTGCCCAAGTCGCGCTCTGTGTGCCCTCTCTACCTTCGAGCCGCCCTTAGTGGCCCCTCTCACGGCCTCTTTGGCCGCCCTTGCGGCCCCTAGCGCCACCCTCTACGGCCCCTCGAGCCGCCCTTACGGCCCATTACGGCCCCTTAAAGCCCTTCGCGTCGCCCTTACGGCCCTCACGCGGCCCCTTTCGGCCCCTCGCGGCGCCCTTTCCAGCCCCTTACGGCCCCGTCGCCGCCCCGTTTAGGCCCTTGCGGCCCCTCTTCGGCCCCGTCTAGGCCCCTTGCGACCCCGCTACGGCCCCGCCTAGGCCCCTTACGGCCCCTCCGCGGCCCCGTCTAGGCCCCTTGCGGCCCCGCTAGGGCCCCGTCTACGCCCCTTACGGCCCCTCCGCGGCCCCGCCTAGGCCCCTTACGGCCCCGTCTAGGCCCCTTGTGGCCCCGCTATGGACCCGTCTAGGCACCTTACAGCCCCTCCGCGGCCCCGTTTAGGCCCCTTGCGGCCCCGTCGCCGCCACGAGCGGCCCCGTCGCCGCCACCAGCGGCCCTATCGCCACCACCTGCGGCCCCGTCGCCGCCACCTGCGGCCACGCAGCCGCCACCTGCGGCCTCCCCGCCACCTACGGCCCCGTCACCCTCCCCTGGTGGCCCTGTCACCGCTCAGCCATCCAGCGACCGGGCCACCGAGCAGCCCAGCAGCCGAGCCACCCACATGTAGAGAAGCCGAGCCACCCAGCAACCGAGCCGCCGAGCGGCCGAGCCGCCTAGCAGCCGAGCCGCCCTGCCGCCGAGCCGCCCAGCAGCCAAGCCGCCCTGCCGCCGAGCCGCCGAGCAGCCGAGCCGCCCAGCAGCCGAGCGGCCCTGCCACCGAGACGCCCTACTGACGAACCGCTGGTGTTCCTACCGGTGCTCCCAGGCCCTCCTTCCTCGGACTAGTGAGCTCACTTCGTGCAAGGCCACTACAATCATGGCTACCCCTAGTGTCCTCACTTTTGATGCTAAGGGCCGTGCCGATGACTTTGAGGTCTAGGTCGATGACCTCCAGCTGTTTCTCCAGTGCGATAGGGCAGACGGACTCTCTCTGTTTGATCTCACCTCTGGTGTCTCTCCTGCCCCACCTGCTACTGCTGACAGCACTGTTCGCTCTCAGTGGGCCACACGCGATGCTGCTGCCCGTCTTGCTGTGCGTTGCCACGTACCGACCACTGAGCGTACACACTTTAGCCAGTACAAGAGTGCTTAGACCTTGTACGATGCTGTAGTTGCACGCTACTATTCCCTTGCCACTGCTGCACTGAGCCGCCTCATGCTACCGCACCTCTTCCCTGACCTTCCTACCTTTCCCACAGTCGCTGACCTCATTACGCACCTCCGCACTAGTGACACTCGCTACCACGCTATGCTTCCTGCTGAGTTCTGCGCCAAGAACCCCCCCCCCCCCCATGTACATCACCCTCTACTACATAGTCACCCGGCTCCCTGACTCTCTTTGCGTAGTCAGGGACCACTTCCTCTCAGTTTGCCCCACCACTCTCACTGTTGACCTCCTCGAGAAGGGCCTCTTAGCAGCATAGAAAAGCATAGTCGCTGTACGTGCCTCTTGTGGTGACCCTCGCACCCCCGTCTTTGAGGGGTGTTCCCCCTCCCCCATCTTGCCCTCTGTTGCTTCTATTGCTGCGGCCGACCTCGTTGGTCTCTACGGCGTCAACGCTGCGTCTGCCCCTAGCGAGAGACGCCGCACCGGCAAGGGCAAGGGGGGCAAGGGCGCTGGAGGGGCTGGCGGGGGCGGTGGAGGTGGTGGTGGAGGCAGTGGAGGGGGTGGGGGTGGTGGTGGGAGTGGTGACAGGGGTGGCGGCGGCGGCGGCAGCAGTGGAGGCGGAAGAGGCGGCGGTGGTGGCGGAGGGAGCGGAGGCGGCGGAGGTGGCGGAGGAGGCGGAGGTGGAGGAGGTGGCGGAGGCGGCGGCGGCAGCAGTGGACCTGGTCGCGGCTCTGCACAGAGGGGTGGCTCCGGTGGTGGTACGCGCCAGCAGCAGCAGAGCAGTCGTGAGACCCTGTCTCCTCAGCAGCTTCGTGAAGGGTATGCTGCGCGCCAGCGGGGTGGGGGTACGGGTCCCTGCACCTACGTTCTCCGCACCGGCGACCGCGGTGGTGAGCAGTGCGGGGGCCCGCACTCCACCCAGCGCTGCTTCGGCCGCCTGACGGACGCATGGCGTCGCCAGTTCCCTGGGGCCTTTGAGATCCCTCGCTGGGGAGAGCTCTCTAGGGTTGGGGTTGCTATCTTTGCTCTTGATTTTGATGCTATACTTGCTGCCATATATACTGTTGATGATAGTGTTGCAGGTGACTGTTACCTGTGTGTACCGCCTGACCCGGGCATTGAGGCTGCTGCTGTAGGTGCTAGTGCGTTTGCTGCCCCAGGTGCTAGTGCGTCTGCTGCCCTAGGTGCTGGTGAGTCTGCGCTCTCAGGTACTACGTCAGCTCAGGCCTTAAACACCTTCACCCTTGACTCGGGTGCGTCCCGCTCCTTCTTTCGAGACCGCACCACTCTTACGCCGCTCAGTCGGCCGGTTGCAGTCTCCCTGGCGGACCCCTCTGGGGGTCCTGTCCTAGCTATCTTCTCCACTGTTTTACCGTGCCTGGCAGCCTCCTTTGGCACACTGTCAGGTCTCTACCTCCCCTCATTCTCTACGAAATTGGTGAGTGGAGCGGACCTACAGGATAGGGGGGTTGACCAGTTCACGCCTGCGAGTCAGCGGGTGACCCACGTTCACCCATCAGCCAGGGTCGAGCCTATACACCCTTACTACTGAGTCTTGTCCGGCTGCTGAGACTGCCCAGGTAGCTGCGTCGAGAAAGGTGTTTGCTGCAACGTCCAAGTCTGGTCCTGAGTGTGCTCCTTGCTCGTGTCGTCTACTGTCCCACCAGACTCTCGTTTGGCACCACCGCCTTGGTCACCCCTCCCTGCCTCGTCTGCGAGGCATGGCCTCCCGTAACCTTGTCTCTGGTCTCCCTCGGTCTCTCCCTCCCCTACCTCCGGGGCCTGCCCCTACCTGCGTCCCCTGCGTCGAGGGGCAACAGCGCGCCGCCCCTCACTCCTCCGAGTTTCCTCCGACAGAGGCTCCGTTGCGGACTCTCCACATGGACGTGTGGGGGCCCCGCCTGCGTCATTGGGCAGGGGCGCGAGCGGTACTTCCTGGTGGTGGTTTACGACAACTCGCGTTACACTATAGTCTTCCCCTTGCGCAGCAAGGGTGACGTCACTGAGGTGTTGATCGATTGGATCCGCGTAGCTCGTCTCCAGCTCAGAAAGAGTTTCAGCTCGGACTTTCCTGTTCTGCGTCTGCACTCTAAAAGAGGCGGGGAGTTTTCCTCTGCCCGTCTGGGAGCCTTCTGTTGTGCACAGGGCATCCGCCAGACCTTCACGCTTCCGGCCTCTCCACAGCAAAATGGGATTGCTGAGCGCCGCATTGGCATGGTCATGGACGTCGCTCGTACGTCCATGAAGCATGCGGCTGCCCCCCCTTTTCTGTGGCCGATTGCCGTTCAGTACGCCACGCACCAGCTCAACCTTCAGCCCCGGGTCTCCTTGCTAGAGACCTCCCCCACCTTGCGGTGGATAGGGAAGGTTGGCAATGCGTGTGCATTATGGGTCTGGGGATCTCGGGCGTTTGTCCGCGACTTGTCTGCGGACAAGCTGTCCCCCGGTGCTGTTCCCTACGTCTTCCTTGGCTTCCCCCCTGACGCGCCTGGGTGGCAGTTTTACCACCCCACCTCGCGCCGTGTTCTGTCCTCCCATGACGTCACCTTTGACGACTCGGTGCGATACTACCGTCTCTTCCCCTACCGCACTGCGCCCCTCCTCCCCTAGCCGCTCTTCCTTGCGCCAGGTCCTCCCCGGGTAGATCCCCTCCCCCCTCAGGGTCCTGCCGCGTAAGGTGTGTCCTAGGTAGACGCGGTCGAGCCTGTCGAGGTAGCTGTTGACTCTGGTGCTGCTAGAGGTGCTGAGCGTGCGGGTGCCGAGTCTGTGGGTGCTGAGTCTGGGGGTGCTGAGTGTGGGGGTGCTGAGCCTGGGGGTGCTAGGTCTGAGGGTGCGGAGCCTGGGGGCGCTGGGTCTTCTCGTGTGGCCGCCGGCGGTGCTTGGTCGAGACGGGAGCCGCTCGCTCCATTGTAGTTGCGCGAGTGGTTTGCCCGGCGCTGGAGACGGGCTGCTGGAGGTGGAGGTGCTACTGTTGCTGCTGGTCCTGGAGGTGCTCGTATTGGCGGTCCTGGAGCTGCTGAGACTGGGGGTGCTGCTGGGGCTACTGGAGTTGGTCCTGCTGGAGCTGCTGGCGGTGCTGGTGCTGCTGGAGCTGGAGCTGCTGGGGGTGTTGGCGCTGGTGTTTCTACTGGCGCTGGTGCGTTTGGAGGTGCTGCTGAGGCTGCTGGAGCTAACCGTCCTACTAGAGCTGGTGCCACTCGAGCTGGAGATGCTAGAGCTGGAGCTGCTGGGGGTGTTAGCACTGGCGATGGTGGCTGCACTAGTACTTCTGAGGGTGCTGGAGTTGGTGGTGTTGGGGCTGGAGGTGCTGCTGGCGCTTGTGCTGCCGCTGGGGGTATTGGTGCTGCCCTTGCTGGTACTGGAGGCGCTGCGCGGCCGAAGCAGTACTTTGTTCCGCTCCTTGAGCAGGTTCTTGGTCTCCCGCCCTCTCCTAGTCCTGCTCCTTCCTTAGAGTGTCCACAGCCTGTCCTGTCGCAGTCACAGTTACAGCCCACCTCCCCTCTACCTGCTCCTTCTCCCCGCACTGGTCCTACTCGAGATCTTGCTAAGTGTCGTGAGCCCGCGTCTCGTCCTGCGTCCCCTATTCGTGCTGCTCGCACTAGTGGTCGTACTGCGCGTCCACGTCCTCCTGCGGTCCCTGGCACACACCGGATGTCTCTGCGTCCGTCCACTGCTCCTCTGCGTGTCCCGTTGCCGTCTCCTCCAGAGTCCTCTCTTCCTTCTCTTGCTGGCCCGGAGTCTGACTCTCTTCGTGCTGCTAGTCCTTCTGTCACGCGTCTCCTAGCTACTTTTGTCACCAACCCTTCCTTTTGAGTCCACTGCTGCGTCTGCCCTAGCTGCTGAGCTTATCGGCATCGCTGCTCACTGTTGTCTAGACTACGCTGCTAGTCTCGTTGCTGAGTCTGAGTCTCTCTGTCCTCCGTCTGTCAGGGGTGAGTATGCTCTTAGCACGGACGTCCTTGAGGACAGGCAGGAGGAGTTCCAGTGCTTTGCTGCTGCTTTGCCCCATCTCGTGTCCACGCTGATTGCCCCTGAGGGAGACCCGGATGCACCAGACATCCCGACTCCTCGATCGTACGTTGAGGCGATCGAGGGTCCCTAATCCTCTCAGTGGCATTCGGCCTTGGACGCAGAGATGGCTTCCTGGAAGTCCACAGGCACCTACGTTGATGAGGTTCCCCCACTTGGGGCGAACATTGTCAGTGGCATGTGGATTTTCAGGGTGAAGCGGCCGCCGGGCTCTCCGCCTATCTTCAAGGCGCGTTACGTCGCATGAGGCTTCAGTCAGCGGCAGGGAGTTGACTACTTTCAGACCTTCTCTCCCACCCCGAAGATGACCACTCTTCGGGTGTTGCTACACATAGCCGCTCACCGTGACTACGAGCTTCACTCTCTTCACTTCAGCACTGCTTTCCTGCAGGGCAGCCTACACGAGGAGATCTGGCTGCGCCGCCCACCTGGCTTCATTGGGTCGTTTCTTGGTACCTAATGGAGCCTTCGGCGGCCGGTCTACGGTCTCCGTCAGGCGCCCTGTGAGTGGCACGACACACTGAGGACTACACTTTCGGCTCTTGGGTTTTGCTCCTTCTACAGCCGACCCGTCGGTGTTTCAGCGCACCGACACCTCTTTGCCGTTGTTCTACATCCTCGTGTACGTCCACGACTTGGTCTTTGCCACTGCTGACACTGCTGGACTCGCCCACGTGAAGTCCGAGCTGCAGAATAGAGACACGTGCACAGACCTAGGTGAACTGCGCAGCTACCTTGGCTTGCAGATCACCCGGGACAGAGCATAGCGCACCATTACCCTGACTCAATCACACATGGTGCAGCACGTCCTTCAGCGCTTCGGCTTCACGTACTCCTCGCCTCAGGCCACTCCTCTGTCTACTCGCCACTCGCTCTCAGCTCTGCCTTCGGATGAGTCCTTAAAGCCGAGTGGCCCGTACCGAGAGCTTTTTGGGTGCCTCGTGTACCTGATGACCTGCACACGACCTGACCTTGCATACCCGCTTAGCATCTTGGCACGCTTTGTTGCTCCTGGGAGACACAGACCAAAGCACATGGCTGCAGCGAAGACAATGTTGCGCTACGTGTACAGTACGTCGGGCATGGGGCTAGTGCTTGGAGGACGACGTCGCGTGGTCCTCACAGGTCATGTAGATGCTTCTTCGGCTGACGTCCTAGCTCTGCAGCAGTCGTCACAGGGTTACACCTGCAGCCTTGGCTCCGGCTCTGTTTTGTGGCGGTCTACCCGCTCGTCTTCTGTTCTCAGCTCTAGCTGTTAGGCTGAGATCTACGCAAGGGCCATGGCTGCACACGAGCTACGCTCGCTCACCTACGTGTTGAATGACCTAGGAGAGCCACCTCGTTCTCCTCCAGTTCTGTACGTAGACAACAAGGCGATGCTGGCCTTGTGTCGGGAGCACACACTAGAGCACAGAACGAAGCACATTGCTCTGCGCTACTTCCTTGCTTGTGAGTTGCAGCAGCGTGGTCAGCTCCGCCTCACCTACGTGGCCTCTGAGGCCAACACTGCTCATATCTCCACCAAGGCCCTTCCGCCTTGTGATCATCAGCGCTTCTGTACTATGCTAGGTCTTGTGCCTACTTGGCGTGACTTGCACACTTCTTGACCTTGCTTGTATTGTGATCTTTGTATACCTGCACTTGCTTGTTTACCTTTATATATGATCTTGCATGTGAACTGGCCTTTTGGCCTTGCTCTTGTGCTTGGATTGTGTGGTGACGTTGTGATCCACCCTGAGATTGCTTTGCTTTGCTTGACTGGTTTTGTGACCTCTTGTTCTCCCCCACTTTGCCTATGGGGGTGTGTAAGGCATATATGCTATAGTATGTGTAGGCTGTAGTGGGGCAGTTCATAAAGGGTACAACAGTTTAGTGTTTCCTACTTGTACTTCCCTTGCTACTAAATGCATCCATTCTCGTTTCTCGTCAATACATGCCACTCGTTTAGGCTTGATTGGGTATGATGTGTTCAGAATCTGGTAAAAAATGCGCCAACGATCATAACACAATTTATTCGCCGCGATTTATGACGATACGCACCGGTGGCAACCACTGCCAGGATAATGCCGCCTGGGACTGACAAGTGAATTGTTGTCGATCTGAACTTCGTTGTTCTGAACTAGCTTCCACGTGCGAGTACTTGCCACAGACACGTCATGCAAGAATGCATGCGAATCGTTGTGTTGGCGGCGGATTCGTGAGTTTCTGAATGGTCCGTTCATATTTCCAATTATCGCGCCACTTTTACATATACATGCCACTCGTCTGGGTTTGATTGGGTATAATTTGTTCAGAATCTGGTAATAAACGTGCCAGCGATCACAACACAATTCATTCGCCGCGATTTCTGACGATACACACTGGTGGCAACCAATGCCTCGATTATGCCACTTGGGACCGACAAATGAATTGTTGTTGTTCCTAGCTGTTGTACGAAGTGTCAGGGATTCCGAGTCCATCATACTTCAACACCTGATGCAGTTCTACATGGCGTAATCATGTGCTCGCGTCTCGCCGTTAAAAAACCCGGGCAGCGGATGATCATCTACATGTTGGGCGTGGATAACCTAGGTGTTGTATCAGATCCACAATGGAGGAACCTCTGGCTAATGGGCGTGACATGTATAAACATTATCCTGGAGCAGTTCGACATAGAGTTTGAACCCGAGGAGGGGCCTATTATCAGTGACAACGCTGCCATTCAGGAGGGTAGCTGGTACTACTCGCAGGATCATTGCCTCTTTGTTTTGCTTGATGATGCGGTAGTGCATAAATACGGTTTCTACATGAAGTCTACCAGAAAAGCATCGGCGCTAGCGTTGTGCAAGAGTCAGAGGCTAGGGTTGGACCCCCCTTGTCCATGGCGGTGCAGCTACGCTCGTCTTGATCGGAACGGACTGTGGCAAATTGCAAAGCTATCCGATCCCGCAGAGCACACATGCGACCATGTCTACCGAACCCGGTGGTGGTCCGGAATGGGACGTAAGAGGAAGTACCTTAGGCGGAAATCCGGCAACTTCGTCCGTGCACTGCCGTTCAACGCACCTAAGGACTACGCTAGGCAGATTACGGCCTGCTCTGGTCCGAAGTTCACTTACAACAACGCGTATCGGTGAGCGTACACCCGTCATAGGCCGAACATCAAGGGAGCTTTTCTTCTAGCATCTGTGTTGCCTCCACTTCACTCATTTCCCGATACCACCCATACATTCCACCCACGCATGCTGAAGGTAGGCATCACGGCGCAGCGATTCGGTGACTGGTGCGAGTCATTCCGCTACATTCCGGCGGTGCAAGAGCCCATTCGGCAGATCGACAGCGGAGCAACCGTGGAGCTTTTGACTTACAGCCACGAATTTCTCCGCTTCTTCATGGCGCCGAGTGCAAAACGCGAAGCACTGAAGACGTGCAGGCCTATTATTGCACTGGAGGGGACTTTCCTTATCCGTGCTCAGAAGGCTACTCTGCTTACGCCAACGCGATGGACGGCAATCAGCAAATCATCCCGATCGCGTGGGCGCTCGTAGAGAGCGAAACCAAGGACACATGGACTTGGTTTTGCCGGCTCTTTGATAAGCACTGCTCCGACTGGAAGGGACGGGACGACGCGGCTATCATCAGCGACCGGGACAACGGTCTCATCCCGGCAGTGAAGGAAGTGTTCCCTGAGAAGGTGGCGCACAACTTCTGTGGGTGGCACATACAGCAAAACGTGAAGCGGTTCGGGAAGACTTCCGCAGACATGTTATGGTGGCTTTGGACAGCCCGGTCTTTGAACAAGTACAACGAGCTCAAGGTCGGTGTAGGGGAATCCCATCCCCTGCTCACGACTTACCTCTACGGTGCGGCGCCAATGGCCGGGCGGGGCCAAACCCCACTCCACCAGCTGGCCTTCGTATTTGCCGATGCAATGTTCAGCAAACACGCTGGACGCGTGCGACCGCCAAAAACATTGCGGCCGAAGCACGGCGGCGTGCTCGACAAGCACAGTCGCAGCGACGCGGCCGCTAACAGAGACAGGGCGGCGCAGGACGCCCACCTCCGAATGCCGCAGCGGCATGACATTTAGCAGCGCCCCGCCCGTCCACAGCACCGTCGCCCGCTGCTGCGACCCGCCAAGCCGCTGCACATGCATCGTCCGCAGCGCCCAGCCCATCTGCAGCGCCACGGCCGTCCGCAGCGCCCCGCCCGTCCACAACACTGTCGTCCGCTGCTGCGACCTGCCCAGCCGCTGCACATGCATCGTCCGCAGCGCCGAGCCCATCTGGAGCGCCAGGGCCGTCCGTAGCGTCCTGCCCGTCCACAACACCGTCGCCCGGTGCTGCGACCCACCCAGCTGCTGCACATGCATCGTCTGCAGCGCTAGGGCCGTCCGCACCGCCCCGCCCGTCCACAGCACCGTTGGCCGATGCTGCGACCCGCCAAGCCGCTGCACATGCATCGTCCGCAGCGCCAGGGTCGTCCGTAGCGCCCGGCCTGTCCACAGCACTGTCGCCCTCTGTTGCGACCCACCCAGCCGCTACACATGCATCGTCCGCAGCGCCCAGCCCATCCGCAGCGCCAGGGCCGTCCGCAGCGCCCCACCCGTCCACAGCACCGTCGCCCGCTAGTGCAACCCGCCAAGCCGCTGCACATGCATCGTGCGTAGCGCCAAGCCCATCTGCAGCGCTAGGGCCGTCCGCAGCGCCCCGCCCGTCCACAGCACTGCGCCTGCTGCTGCGACCCGCCCAGCCGTTGCACATGCATCGTCCGCAGCGCCCAGCCCATCTGTAGTGGCCCGCCCGTCCACAGCATCGTCGCCCGCAGCTGCGACCCCGCCCAGGTGCTGCACATGCATCGTCCGCAGCGCCCAACCCATCTGCACTGCCGCGCTCGTCCACAACACCGTCGCCCGCTGCTGCGACCCGCCTAACCGCTGCACATTCATCGTCCGCAGCGCCGAGCCCATCTGCAGTGCCAGGGCCGTCTGCAGCGCCCCGCCCGTCCACACCACCGTCGCCCTCTGCTGCGACCCACCCAGCCGCTACACATGCATGGTCCGCAGCGCCCAGCCCATCCGCAGCGCCAGGGCCGTCCGTAGCGCCCCGCCCGTCCACAGCACCGTCGCCCGCTACTGCAACCCGCCAAGCCACTGCACATGCATCGTCCGCAGCGCCCAGCCCATCTGCAGCGCTAGGGCCGTCCGCAGCGCCCCGCCCGTCCACAGCACCGTCGCCGCTGCTACGACCTGCCCAGCCGCTGCACATGCATCGTCCGCAGCGCCCAGCCCATCTGCAGTGCCCCGCCCATCCACAGCATCGTCGCCCGCTGCTGCGACCCGCCCTGCCGCTGCACATGCATCGTCCGCAGCGCCCAACCCATTTGCAGTGCCGCGCCCGTCCACAGCACCGTCGCCCGCTGCTGCGACCCGCCCAACCGCTGCACATTCATCGTCCGCAGCGCCCAGCCCATCCGCAGCGCCAGGGCCGTACGCAGCGCCCCGCCCGTCCACAGCACCGTCGCTCTCTGCTGCGACCCACCGAGCCGCTACACATGCATCGTCCGCAGCGCCCAGCCCATTTGCAGCGCCAGGCCGGCCGCAGCGCCCCGCCCGTCCATAGCACCGTCGCCCGCTACTGCAGCCCGCGAAGCCGCTGCACATGCATCGTCCGCAGCGCCCAGCCCATCTGTAGCGCTAGGGCCGTCCGCACCGCCCCGCCCGTCCACAGCACCGTCGCCCGCTGCTGCGACCCGCCCAGCCGCTGCACATGCATCGTCCACAGCGCCCAGCCCATCTGCAGCGCCTGGGCCATCCGCAGCGCCCCGCCCGTCTACATCATCGTCACTGAATTCAGCTACACGCACATCCGGGGCACCCGCATCATCCGCCACGTCGTCACCATCCACTCCGTACGACTTGTCTGTCGCAACAGGTTCGTTTGAACAACGTTTCGTCAATGCGCCCCTCCGTTCTTTAGTACCATGATATGTGTGGTAGTAACGACTACATCCACGATGTAATCTCTACATATTTGTGTTAAGGTCTCATACATGAGAGGCCATCTTAAAGTGATAGGGTACTGCTCATTTGGTACAGCCAGAATTTCCGGTTCCGTGTCCCTATTGCAGCCCATCATGCAGGAACAACTGCACCATCCAATTCCCAGCCGGAGCCACCTCCACTTCGACGATCCTCACCGATAGTCGTGCCTAGCGGATGGCGAGGAACAGTTGCGTGCTTTAGCTTTCGCAACATTGTTCTGAGAACTGCGGTCCCGGGAGTCACCCCACCAACTGAGGCACCAAACCGAGAGCCACCACCGACCAAGGCACCCACCCGCCAGCCACCACCGACCGCGGCAGCAACCCGTGACCCTCCTCCTCCCACCGTGGACCCGGGAACGGCGCTTGGGAACACCAACGAGGAGAGGCCTAGCGTTGTAGAAGATGAGGCGACCGTCGTGGAAGAGGACTCCCTAGAGGGACGGTGAGAATGGTGGGCGGGTCTGAATAGGCCTTTGCGGTGATTACACTGCACGCAGGAATAGAATCTGGGTGTACGAGAAGGAGTGGGCTCGATGTGCGACACCAACGAGAAGATTCGGCATCTACACGAGCAACATGGCGGAGTTGACCAACGGGCCGTAAATCCATCCGGTTCGTGCCACCTGCATATCTGTTAGCATCAATGTGGGACTACAACGTCAAGAAGTTTCATGAGCGGCCTGAGGAGGCTAGAGCCCGGGATGACTAGTTGGTGGAGTGCGGGAGAAAAACGGTATGAGGAGAAGTGCGGAGCGGGGAAAGAACTACGAGGTGAAAATCTCCAACATCGAGTTCTTCGCGGAGGTGATAAACAACGGCAACGCGACGGACCCAACCCCACGCAGCTACAACGTCAACCTACGTGGCGAGGGTAGCTGTGAGTGCGGCAATTGGAAAGAGTACGCTTTTCCGTGCGCACATGCCATGGCGTTTTTCCCCTGGGCGAACAAAAATGGTGGGAGTATGTCAGCGATTACTACACCACAGTCAACCTCCGCCGCACATACTCCCAGCACCATTCTCGGGACCTGCATCGACACCCTGATGGCATAGACAACACCTGTGCCTCAGGGAGTGTGTGACGCGCCTACATTCACTCGTAGGGGTCCTTGCCGTCCCCCTTTCTACAGGCGCAGGGATGCTCCGCCGGCGAACTATCGTTGCAGAACCTGCTTAGGGCCTAACCACAACTCAGCTACCTGCACCCAGAAGTATGGATCCGACAGGCCTGCAAGAGGTGTTTACCACACGGTAGGATGATTTTAGCCGAATTTAGCAAATGGTAATCGTACTACACTTTGGTGCACTGAGCTGCATAGTCGACACCTAGTACAGTGGTGTGAGAGTAATAGGTATAGTGAGAAACCATAGCTGGGGTTCACCTAGCTAGGCAAGAGAGAATTAGGCAAAAGAGGGGTTGACTAGAAAGAAGGGAGGTACAAATAGCAAGCCCTAAAAGGGTATACTCACTATTGAGTACCCCACTATAGACTAGACAAGCATTATATTCTGACACACCCCCACAGTCAAAATGGGGTGTAATGAGCATAGCAAGCATTCATAGAGCAGGTTCACAATTACAAGCAAAGCTAGAGGCTAAAACAGAGGGGCAACTGAGGAGGAGAGAGTGTGGGAGGAGAGAAGATGAGAGGCAAACGACTGAAGCTGCAGAGGCACGGGCACAGGAGCGGCTGACTCAGTGGCTACCGAAGCAAGGGCGACGGACTACTGGAGTGACTGACTCCGCGGCTAAGACGAGCGGCAGGAGCAACGGACCCACTGGCGACTGGTGCAACAGGCTCACTGGCTACCGAAGCAAGGGCGTCGGACTACAGGCGCTGCAGGCGACACGATAGCTATCTCCACACAACCTCCTGCAGCTGACCCATACCCTTGACCACACACCCTAAACTGACTTCACCCCTAACTCCACTCCCATGTCACCCCCTAGCAACCCCTCTTTCGGCTCCCACACACCCACCCCCCCTCAGCGGCAGCTGCAGCAGTGGGAGACGGAGGAGGAGGAGGAGCAGGTGTCGGCTCACACACCCGCCACCCCCATACCCGTCACACCCATACCCTGAGTGTGCGGTAAGCGAAATCAGGTGTGCGTGAATCGTGCACAAGTGTGCGGGAAGCGAACTCAGGTGTGCGGTAAGCAAACTCAGGTCTGCCGGGGAGGGGGGGGGGGGGAAGCAGGGCTGACGCGTGGGGTCAACGGGGACGAGCGCACGGGTCCCCAGGGGCGGCGCGCGGGTCGACGGGGCCGCCGCAAAGGGCGGACAGGGATCTGCGCGCGGGTTGACGGGGCCGCCGGCGGGCGGGCCGACTGGGCCGCCGCAAAGGGCGACGGGGAGCCGCGCGAAGGTCGACGGGGACGGGCGCGCAGGTCGACGGAAACCGCCACACGTCCCGAGCACATGGCGGGCAGAAAACCGCCACGCGCCACAAGCGCGCGGCGGGATGAAAAAGTGTCGCGTGCCCGGGGCGCGCGACCAGCAGAACAGTAGCAGCGGAAGCAGTAGGCGGGCCCACAGGCCAAGAGCGTAACAACTCTGATTCCATGTGAGAGGAGTAGGTAAAGTGAGAAGCCATAGCTTGGGTTTACCTAGCTAGGCAGGAGAGAATTAGGCAAAAGAGGGGTTGACTAGAAAGAAGGGAGGTACAAATAGCAAGCCCTAAAAGGGTTTACTCACTATTAAGTACCCTACTACAGACTAGACAAGCATTTTATTCTGACAAGTGGTCGTCGAGAATAATCAATGTAGCTTCCATGTGTACTTCATCAGCTATTTTGCGCACTTCTGTATGTGTTTGAACTTTGTAGATGGTGAATATGTAATATGGCGCTGAAATCATTAGAACTAGGGTTTCGGGATACATCTAATTAACCCGGTACAGTCGCAATCCCAATTGCCGTCCATAGATGTTATGTGAGAGTACGACGGCTTATACCAGCTATGCTTGGTTGCCTTTACTTTATCATGCTATTTCTAGCATAGGATAATTATATGCATGCATGAATTGCTTGATTTCCTAGGCTAGGTGCTTTCCTATATTTTATTACAGCTATAGCACAGAGCTAGGTTGCGTGCACCGAATTCTGGGCATTTCGGTTGCCACCAAATTGCCTTCTACCGAATTTGGGAAGGATCTGTTCGGGACGCTTCGCGACCCGCGGAACCTTCGCGTAACACCTGGTTACTAGGCCTTCTGTCGAGCCTATATATAGCCTCGTGTTGTACCCAGGTGATCATTCAATTCAATTACAAATCTCTTTTCTGAGCTCGATCATAGATCCTCACACTTGGTAATCAGAGCCCGTTTACACGCGAAGTTTTTTCGACTGCTCAAACTAGTCTTAAAAAACCGCGGGGGCGACGCAGTTAAACATCCATTTCGGGTACGTAAAACCGGTTCCGCGTTTTTTTGCTCCCCCTCGATTCGTTTTTTCAGACGCGCTAATGTCACGCATGGAGGGCCAAGGCGACAACTACGCGACCACGAGCGACATCGCGAGCCTTAGCACCGACATAGAGCAGACGCACACGACGCTTTGTCGGCTCGAGGCCCTTCTGACACACCAACTAGGGATCGCCACCGCAGCAGCAGCAAATGTAGCAGCGACAACACCTGCAGCAGTGGCGACACCGACATTTCACGGACCGATGGCACCACTATCGCCGAACCTCGAAGCAGCACGACCGAGGCTCCCTGAGGCGTTCGATCCAAGCGCGAAGGGATCCGACGTCCGGCGATTCGTGGCAACCCTCGAAATTTACTTCGAGGCCATTGGCTGTTCGACCCCGCAACACGACGCAGCACGGATTCGGCTCGCAGCGACACTGTTACATGGACCAGCACTTGAATGGATTTACTACACCGACGTAATCCGCGGGGAGAAAACGTGGCAGCAGTTTTGGGCAGATTTTATCGAACGTTTCGAACCGATTAATACGACCTACATGACGCGGCAGTAGATACACAGACAGAAGCAATACAGTAGTGTAGCACAGTACACGCAGCAGATGGAGTTACTGTTCAACCGCATCACCGACCTGACCGAAGGCGAAAATATCCAGGCGTACACAGAAAGGTTAAAAATGGAGATTCGGGGGCAGGTGATTGCGGCGAATTACAACAGCTACAAAGACATCGTGCGTGCTGCCAAACGATACGAAGCGCTGACTCGAGGTCAACCCGAAACACGACGCTTCACGCTGAACCGTACATTCAGCACGGAGCGATCAGTACCCCCCACGTTCGCGGAACTGATGGACATCGACAAATACGACGCAAAGTAGCAGCTGACAAAACGCGAGTTTTGCGGCGCTGCAAGGCATCAGATTTTATCGTGCTACAAAATGAAAAAGGCACTTGCGGCACTGCTTGTCAGAACATTATAGCTTACTTATTTGTGTAGGCTATAGTGGGGTATCCCATAGGGGGTACAACCCAATTAGGGTTTCATATTTGTACTCACTTCATTCATAGTTCAATTCATTCTCGTTCTTTCTTTCACATGGAATCAGAGCAAGTTCCCTCCTAGGGACTGCTTCTAGGGCCCACCGAAGCGCGCCCCGAGGCGCGTTTTCCTTTTTTTTTTTTCGCGACCCGTTGTGTCGCCCCCAGCGGCCCGTCGCGCCGCCCTTCCCTTAGCGGCCCCGCCGCCCTTCGATCGCGACTCCGCCGCGCTTCCTTAGCGGCCCCGCCGCCCTTCGATCGCGGCCCCGCCGCCCTTCGATCGCGGCTCCGCCGCCCTTCCTTAGCGGCCAGGCCGCCCTCTGCTAAGCGGCCCCGCCGCCCTTCGATCGCGGCCCCGCCGCCCTCTGCTAAGCGGCCCCGCCGCCCTCTGCTAAGCGGCCCCGCCGCCCTCTGCTAAGCGGCCCCGCCGCCCTCTGCTAAGCGGCCTCGCCGCCGCGTCGCCCGTGCACCTGCCCGTGCACCCGCCCGTGCACCTACCCGTGCGGCCGCAAGTGCAGCCGCCCGTGCGCAGCCTACGAGCCGCCCGTGCAGCCGCCCGTGCATCGCCCGTGAGCCGCCCCAACCGCCCGTGCAGCCGCCCGCGAGCCGTCCCAGCCGCCCGTGCGGCCGCCCGCGAGACGCCCGCGCCGCCCGAGCCGCCCGAGCCGCCCGCGAGACGCCCGCGCCGCCCGAGCCGCCCGAGCCGCCCGCGAGACGCCCGCGCCGCCCGAGCCGCCCGAGCCGCCCGAGCCGCCCGCGAGACGCCCGCGCCGCCCGAGCCGCCCGAGCCGCCCGAGCCGCCCGAGCCGCCGTGCCGCCCGAGCCGCCCGAGCCGCCCGAGGAGCCGATCTTCTGCTCCTGTGAGGCTCATACTGCTCCTGGGCCGGCGTAGCTGCTGTGCTGCCGTGTTGCTGTGTCGCTGTGCTACCCGACTCTTCCTGCCCGGTGAGACTGTCAGCTGCTACAATGGCCACCCCCAGTGTCCTGACTTTTGACGCCGAGGGTCGCGCCATTGACTTTGCAGTCTGGATTGAGGACCTGCAGCTGTACTTACTGTGCGATGCGATCGATGAGGTTTCTCTCTTTGACTTTGTCTCTGGCGCTGTCCCTGCCCCTCCTGCTGATGCTGACCCCACTGTTCGCTCCAAGTGGGCCACACGCGATGCTGCTGCACGTCTTGCTGTGCGTCGCCACCTCCCTTCCTCCGAGCGTGCACACTTTAGTCAGTGCAAGACCGCTCAGGCCTTGTACGACGCTGTAGTTGCGCGCTACTCCTCCCCTTCCACTGCTACACTGAGCCGCCTCATCCTACCGTACCTCTTCCCTGACCTTGCTGCCTTTCCCACAGTCACTGACCTCTTTACCCACCTTCGCGCTAGTGACACTCGCTACCGAGCTGCGCTTCCTGCTGCCTTCCTCGCCGAAAACCCCCCTCCCATGTACATCACCCTCTACTTTCTAGTCACCCGTCTCCCTGAGTCCCTTCGTGCTGTTAGGGACCAGTTTCTCTCTGTCTGTCCCACCACCCTCACTGTCGACCTCCTTGAGAAGTCCCTGCTAGCGGCCGAGAAGAGCATAGTCGCTGTAGGGGCCTCTCGTGGTGACCCGCGCACCCCCATCTTTGAGGGGTGTTCTCCTTCCCCCCTGCTACCCTCTGTCGCCTCTGCTGCTGCGGCCGACCTCGTTGGTTTAGAGTCGGTCGGTGCGGCGTCTGCCCCCAGCGGTCGGCGCCGCTCTGGCAGGAGCAAGGGGGGCAAGGGAGCGGGTGGAGCTAGCGGGGGCGGTGGCGGAGGAGGTGGGGGCGGCGGGGGAAGTGGGGGTGGCGGTGGGGGTGGAGGCGGGAGTGGAGGTACTGGTGGCGGCGGTGGAGGCGGAGGTGGCGGCGGAGGTGGTGGCGGAGGAGGCAGTGGGAGCGGCGGGGGCGAGGGTGGCGGTGGCGGCGGTGGCGGCGGAGGCGGGGGTGGCGGTGGTGGAGGTGGTCCGAGTGGCTCGTCCCAGAGGAGCGGCACTGGGGGTGGTCAGCGCCAGCAGCAGCAGCAGCAGCAGCAGCAGCACTCTCGCGACGTCCCCGCCCCTCAGCAGCTCCGTGAGTGGTACTCGCAGCGTCAGCGTGGTGGGGCGTTCGGTCCCTGCACCTACGTCCTTCGCACCGGCGACCGCGCGGGTGAGCAGTGTGGGGGCACCCACACCGCTCGCCGCTGCTTTGCCCGCCTGACCGACGCTTGGCGCCAGCAGTTTCCGGAGGCCTCTGAGATCCCCCGCTGGGGAGAGCTGTCTCGGGCTGGTGTAGCTGTGTTTGATCTTGACTTTGATGCTATCCTTGCTGCCATGTATGCTGTGACTGTTAGTGATGATGGTGACTGTTACCGGTGCTTTCCGCCCGACCCGGGCATTGGTACTGCTGTGTCAGGTGCCACTGAGGCTGCTACTCTATGTGCCAGTGCGTCTGTGCTCTCAGGTTCTAGTGAGTCTGCCCTCTCAGGTACTGTGTCGGCTTCTGCCTCCCACACCTTCACCCTTGACTCTGGGGCGTCTCGCTCCTTCTTTCGGGACCGCACCACTCTCACGCCGCTTAGTCGGCCGGTTGCGGTGTCCCTGGCTGACCCCTCTGGGGGTCCTGTCCTGTCTCGTTTCTCCACAGTCCTCCCGTGTCCGGCGGCTCCCTCTGGCACCCTGACTGGTCTTTACCTCCCCTCGTTCTCTACAAACCTGGTGAGTGGTGCTGACCTACAGGATGTGGGGGTCCACCAGCTCACTCCTGCTCGTCAGCGGGTGACACACTGCACAGAGGCTAGCACAGGTCGCCACCTGGCTACGTTTACACGTCAGCCAGGGTCGAGACTGTACACACTGACCACTACTTCTCCTCCCGGTGCTGAGTCTGGTAGAGTCCCTTCGTCTGGTCAGGTGTTTGCTGCAGCGTCCAGGTCTGGTCCTGAGTCTGTCCCCTGTTCGTGTCTCCGTCTGTCTCACGAGACTCTCCTCTAGCACCACCGCCTTGGCCACCCCTCTCTGCTTCGGCTCAGAGGCATGGCCTCCCGTCTTCTTGTGTCTGGTCTCCCCCGGTCCCTCCCTCCCCTTCCTCAGGGCCCTGGCCCTGCCTGTGTCCCCTGTGTCGAGGGGCGCCAGCGTGCTGCCCCTCACTCCTCCCAGTTTCCTCCGACAGAGGCTCCGTTGCAGACGCTTCACATGGACGTGTGGGGCCCTGCCCGCGTCCGTGGACTCGGTCACGAGCGCTACTTCCTGTTGGTGGTTGACGACTACTCGCGTTACACCAGAGTCTTCCCCTTGTGCAGCAAGGGTGATGTCACTGAGGTGCTGATCGACTGGATCCGCGCAGCTCGTCTCCGGCTCAGGCAGAGCTTTGGCTCGGACTAACCTGTGTTGCGTCTGCACTCTGACAGAGGCGGAGAGTTCTCCTCTGGCCTTCTGCGTGCCTTCTGTCGTGCGCGAGGCATCCGCCAGACCTTCACGCTTCCGGACTCACCGCAGCAAAATGGGATTGCAGAGCGCCGCATTGGCATGGTCATGGACGTCGCTCGTACGTCTATGATGCATGCGGCTGCCCCCCATTTTCTCTGGCCGTTTGAGGTCAGGTACGCGGCGCATCAGATCAACCTCCACCCCAGGGTCTCCAGGCCGGAGACCTCCCCAGCCCTGCTGTGGACGGGGAAGGTTGGCGATGCGTCGGCGTTCCGAGTCTGGGGATCTCGGGCGTTTGTCCGCGACTTGTCTGCGGACAAGCTGTCCCCTCGCGCTGCTCCTTGCGTCTTCCTGGGGTTCCCCCCCCGACGCCCCTGGGTGGCAGTTCTACCACCCCACCTCTCGACGTGTTCTGTCCTCCCAGGACGTCACATTCGACGAGTCGGTACCCTACTACCGCCTCTTCCCCTACCGCACTCCTTCCCTTCCCCCGCCCCCGCACTTCTTGGTACCAGGTCCCCCTCCGGTAGACCCCCTCCCCCCTTAGGGTCCTGCCCCTTCAGGTGTGTCCCAGTTAGACGCGGTCGAGCCTGTCGAGGTCACTGGTGACTTTGTTGCTGCTGCGGGAGCTGAGCCTGGGGGTGCTGAGCCTGGGGGTGCGGAGTCTGGTGGTGTTGAGCCTGGGGGTGCTGAGCCTGGGAGTGCTGAGCCTAGGGGTACTGATTCTGGGGGTGCTGAGCCTGGGGGTGCTGAGTCTGGGGGTGCTGAGCCTGGGGGTGCTGCGACTGGGGGTGCTCCGCCTGGAGGGGCCTTGCCTGAGGGTGCTGAGCCTGGAGGTTCTTCGCCTGGAGGTTCTCCGCCTGGAGGTGCTTCGTCTCGCCGAGAGCCACTCTCCCCACAGGAGCTGCGTGAGTGGTTTGCCCGGCGCTGGAGGCGTACTGCTGGTGCTGGAGGTTCTTCGGCTGCAGAGGGTGCTGCTGCCGCGTGTCCTGGAGGTGCTCGTGCTGTGGGTGCTGGAGCTCCTGGGCCTGATGGTTCTCCTGGAGCTGGTGCTGCTGAGGGTGTTGGCGCTGAGACTACTGCTAGCAGTCCGACTGGCAGTGCTCCTGGTGCTGCTGGGAGTTCTAGAGCTGCTGCTGGTGCTGCTGGAGGTGCTGCTGGAGGTGCTGCTGGAGCGGGTACTCCTGCTTGGGGTACTGGTGCTGTCCCTGCTGTTTCTGGCGTCGCCACGCGGCCCCGACCGTACTTCGTTCCGCTCCTGCAGCATGTTCTTGGTCTTACACCTTCTCCTGGTCCTCCTCCGCCTCCCTTAGAAGGTCTACAGCCTGTCCAGTCCCAGTCACAGCTACAGCCTGCCTCCCCTTTGCCTGCTCCTTCTCCCTACGCTGGTCCGACTGGAGGTCTTACTGAGCGTCGTGAGCCTGCGTCTCGTCCTGCGTCGCCTGTTCGTCCTGCACGCACTAGTGGTCGCGGTTCGCGTCAGCGTCCTCCTCCTGTCCCTGGCACGCACCGGATGTCTCTGCGTCCGTCCACTGCTCCTCTGCGTGCCCCTTTGCCTTCTCCTCCTGTGTCCTCTCTTCCTGCTCTTGCCGACCCGGAGTCGGACTCTCTTCGTGCTGCCAGTCCCACTGTGAAGCGTCTCCTTGCTACTGCTGTCACTGACCCTTCCTTCGAGTCTTCTGCTGCGTCTGCCCTTGTCACTGAGCTTGTCGACTTTGCTGCGCGCTGTCGTCTAGACTACGCTGCTAGTCTTGTCGCTGAGTCTGAGTCTGCCTGTCCTCCGTCCGTCGGGGGTGAGTGTGCCCTAGGCACGGACGTCCATGAGGATAGGCAGGAGGAGTTCCAGTGTCTGGCCGCCGCTTCACCTCATCTCGCGTCTGTACTGCTCGCCCCTGAGGAGACCCGGACGCACTAGACATCCCGACTCCGCGCTCTTACGCGGAGGCGATAGAGGGTCCCTACTCCTCTCAGTGGCAGGCAGCTATGGATGCAGAGATGGCTTCCTGGAAGTCCACAGGCACCTACGTTGACGCTGTTCCCCCTCCTGGGGCGAACATCGTCAGTGGCATGTGGATTTTCAGGGTGAAGCGGCCGCCGGGTTCTCCGCCTGTCTTCAAGGCGCGTTACGTGGCTCGTGGCTTCAGTCAGCGGCAGGGAGTTGACTACTTTCAGACCTTCTCCCCCACCCCGAAGATGACCACTCTTCGGGTACTGCTGCACGTTGCTGCTCACCGTGACTACGAGCTGCACTCTCTCGACTCCAGCACTGCTTTCTTGCAGGGCAGCCTGCACGAGGAGATCTGGCTGCGTCGCCCGCCTGGCTTCACTGGGTCTTTCCTCCTGGTACCCAGTGGAGTCTCCGGCGTCCAGTCTACGGTCTCCGCCAGGCGCCACGTGAGTGGCACGACACACTGAGGACTACGCTGGCGGCACTTGGGTTTGCTCCTTCTACTGCCGACCCGTCGCTGTTTCTGCGCACCGACACCTCTCTGCGCCGTTCTACATCCTCGTGTACGTCGACGACTTGGTCTTTGCCACAGCTGACACTGCTGGACTCGCCCACGTGAAGTCCGAGCTGCAGAATAGACACACGTGCACTGACCTGGGTGAACTGCGCAGCTACCTTGGCTTGCAGATCACCCGAGACAGAGCACGCCGCACCATTACCCTGACTCAGTCACACATGGTGCAGCAGGTCCTTCAGCGCTTCGGCTTTCACGTACTTCTCGCCTCAGGCCACTCCTCTGCCTACTCGTCACTCGCTCTCAGCTCTGCCTTCGGATGAGTCCGTAGAGTCGAGTGGCCCGTATGCAGAGCTTGTTGGCTGCCTCATGTACCTGATAACCTGCACACGACCTGACCTTGCATACCCTCTTAGCATTCTCGCACGCTATGTTGCTCCTGGGAGACACCGACCAGAGCACATGGCTGCAGCGAAGAGGGTGTTGCGCTACTTGTGCAGTACGTCGGGCATGGGGCTAGTGCTTGGAGGGCGCAGTCCAGTGGTCCTCACAGGGCACGCGGACGCTTCTTGGGCTGACGACCAGGCTACGCAGCGGTCGTCATAGGGTTACACCTTCAGCCTTGGTTCCGGCTCTGTTTCGTGGCGGGCTACCTGCTCGTCTTCTGTTCTCGGCTCCAGTTGTGAGGCTGAGATCTACGCCGGGGCTATGGCTGCTCAGGAGCTTCGTTGGCTCACCTACCTGCTGACCGACCTTGGAGAGCCGCCTCGTTCTCCTCCAGTCCTGTACGTAGACAACAAGGCCATGCTGGCCTTGTGTCGAGAGCAGCGACTGGAGCACAGGACAAAGCACATTGCTCTCCGCTACTTTCTTGCTCGTGAGCTACAGCAGCGTGGACAGTTGCGACTTGCGTACGTGGCCTCTGAGGCCAACACTGCTGATGTCTTCACCAAGGCACTTGCGCCTTGTGATCATCAGCGTTGCTGCACGTAGCTGGGTCTTGTGCCTGTCTTGCCTCACTTGCTCACTTCTTGACCTTGCTTGTACCTTGACCTATATATACTCTTGCTCTTGTTTTGCTTGACTCTTGTATATCTCTATATATGATCTTGCATGTGAACTGGCCTTGTGGCCCTTGAACTTGTGCTCGGAATGTGTGGTGACTTTGTGATCCACCCTGAGCTTTGCTTTGCATTGCTTGACTGGTCTTGTGACCCCTTGTTCTCCCCCACTTTGCCTATGGGGGTGTGTCAGAACATTATAGCTTACTTATTTGTGTAGGCTATAGTGGGGTATCCCATAGGGGGTACAACCCAATTAGGGTTTCATATTTGTACTCACTTCATTCATAGTTCAATTCATTCTCGTTCTTTCTTTCACACTGCTGGGCAGTAACAGTGGAGCACCCCCGAAGTAAAAAAAGGGCAGTCGCCAGTAGCCGCGGATCGACTTGGCGATCGCGTGAAGATCCGGAAAGTAGGAAAGGGGGACGACGTGGCGACTTTGGAGCGGGTGAAAAAAGGAGAAAATGATGGCGCGAATCTAAAACGTCACAACCGGCCGGCATCAGGGGAAATTACCAAGGCAAATGGAGGCTGCGTAAAAAAAGACTTTGCACCGACCGGGAAACTCCAGCCGAACACCCACGAAAGTAAGAATTCGTTAAAAGTATCCTATAAAGATACTCTAACAAAGAATATTGCTTCTCGTGGGTTTCAAGCCTTTAAAAAATTCAAGGGAGGTTAAGAGGCCTAGAAAAAGCCTTTAGAAATTATTCAGGTACCTGAGAAGTTGGGCAAAGTACTACGGAGCGTAGAGAAGGGTCGTGCATTCCGTGGAGTTAATATTCTCTCCCCGCAGCATAGTGTTAAGGCTCCCCGTTGCCCACAGGTGAAGCCTACACAGCTACCAAGGCTTAGAGGAGAATTCCAGGCTCCAGAGAAGTGGTACAAGCCTCGGAAAAATCCTCCTACCCCCCAGGTGAAGTTCGAAGAGAAAAGTGCTGAGTCAGGTATAGGAAATAGGGGTGGTATTCAGTTTGATGTACCCTATGATCCTATCAATGAGACCCTCTTTGGCTACTCAGCGCAGCAGGCACCACTACTCCTCGAGGTGTTATGTAAAGGACGACGCCTCCAGGCACTGGTGGACAGTGCTGCATCTCACTCGGTGTGTGGCCACGAGACGTTGGAGAAAATTGGGGAACCTTCCGAGGAGACCAAGTTCTCGGCAACGATGGTGGACGGTGCAAAACTTCCCATCCACAGCGAAGCATCGCTGCAGCTGCACATAGGGGCGCTGAGGTGGAAGCCGATGTTGCCGATCACGAACATCAAGGGATCAGATTTCATCTTGAGGCGAGATTTCTTGAAGCGGTTCAACCCCGAGATCGACTGGGTCAACAAGAAGGTGTGCATCTACAACAATAGGAAGCGGATAGCACTACGAAGCTGGACAGATCCAGGGGACATTCCTGAAACGACACTGGCACGGTTCGAACGGAGGTAAACGAGAGTAACACGGGTTACCTAGCACTGGTCATGGCAGCAGCAGAGGAGGAGAAGCCGAGCTCCGAGCTCCCTGCAGTAGTGAAGGAGGTCTTGGAGCAGTACAATGATATAATGACCGACGACCTTCCCGCATGCGTACCTCCAGCGCGCACCCGCGAGCACGAGATCGTGGAGGAACCAGGTGCGAAACCCGTCTAACGTGCACCATACCAACTGAGTCTGACCGAACTGACAGACATGAAGAAACAGATAGAGTATCTACTAGACAGAGAACTGATCCGCCCATCCACCTCTCCCTACGGTGCACCAGTCCTCTTCACTCCAAAACCAGACGGCAGTTCACGGATGTGCATGAATACCGCGCACTGAACAAACAGAGAGTTAAAAACAAATACCCCATACCGCGCATAGACGACCTATTGGACCAACTACGTGGTGCAACAGTGTTTTCGAAGCTAGACCTACGATCGGGTTACTAGCAGATCAAGATGGCGGACAACTCGATCCACAAGATGGCGTTCCGTACCAGATACGGCTCCTACGAATACTTGGTGATGCCGTTCGGACTCTGCAACACACCAGCGACGTTCCAGGCGGAGATAAATCATATCCTACGACCCCTGCTGGACGAGTGCGTAGTAGTGTACCTGGACGATATCCTCATCTACTCCAAGAACATGAAGGAGCACGTGGAGCATCTGCAGAAAGTCTTCGAGATCCTGCGGAATAACAAGTGCTACGTGAAGCTGTCGAAGAGCGACTTTGCCCTGAAGAAGGTGCAGTTTCTCGGGCACATGGTGAGTGCCGAGGGCATACACGTGGACCCGCAGAAGATCGAAGCCGTCAAAAAGTGGAAAGTTCCTGAGAACGTGAAGGAATTGCAGCAGTTCCTAGGCTTCGCCAACTACTACAACAGGTTCATACCGCAGTACGCTAAGATAAGAGCGCCACTGCCCGACCTACTGAAAAAGGATACCCCCTTCAAATGGGGTACTCCTCATCAGCAAGCCTTTGAACAGTTACAGACAGCACTGACCACAGCACCAGTACTCATCCTACCGGACCTCGAGAAGGACTACGTAGTTGAAGCAGACGCTTGACCAGGCAGTCGGAACAGTACTAATGCACGATCACGAGAACGGGTTACAGCATATCGCCTACCTCGGTAAGAAGCTACACGGAGCAGAACTGAACTACCCCATTCACGACAAGGAAGCCTTAGCGATAGTTGTAGCCTTCAAGGCATGGAGGTGTTACCTAGAGGGAGCCAAGACCACAGTCTATACTGACCACTACAGCCTCAAATACCTGAAGTCGCAGCCTACGCTCTCATGACGACAGGTGCGGTGGGTGGATTTCTTGGAGACCCACTTCCACTACGACATCATCTACAAGCACAGGCTACACAACAAGGCAGATGCGTTGAGCCGCCGCGGACATGTAGCAGGCATCCAGCTCGACGCGATGAACCCTCTCTCAAAATATGTTATTTGTGTAGCCTGCAGAGGGGCACTCAATAGTGAGTACAGCCCCTTAGGGTTTCCTATTTGTATCCTACTGCTTGCTAGTACAATCATTCCTTCTCAATTGTGCTCGTGCACACAATCCTAGCTAGTACTTGGTGCCTCCTTTCGTAGTCCTACTGTGGCCTAGGCTACTAAGCCTAGGCCGTACTCCTACTATATTTGACATGGTATTAGAGGGCGGCATGTCTGCCGCCTTCCTATGTATGGGCCCACCACCCGCTTCCGCTGCCGTACTGTCCGCCGCGCGCCCCGTGGTATGCAGCGGCGAAACCCTAATTTCTGCCCGCCACGCGCTCGGGGCGCCTGGCAGTTTTCCCTTCCGTGGCGCCCGTCGTGGTGCCCTTGGGAGGGCCTCTTCGGTCCCCTCCCGTCGAAGCGCCCGTCGAGGCGCTCTCGGGGGCCCACGCGGCCTCCCCTCCCGTCGCCCGTCGAGGCGACCTCGGGGACCCGCGCGGCCTCCCCTCCCGTCGCCCGTCGAGGCGACCTTGGGGGCCCGCGCGGCCTCCCTACCAGTCGCCCGTCGTGGCGACCACGGGGGCCGCACGCGGTCCCCTCCCGTCGCCCGTCGAGGCAACTTCGGGGGCCGTGTACGGCCCTCCCCGTCGTCCGTCGAGGCGACTTCGGAGGGGCCCGCGTGGCGCCCTCCCCATCGTCCGTCAAGGCGACTTCAGGGGGCTCGCGCGGCGCCCTCCCCGTCGCCCGTCGAGGCGGCTCTGGGGGCCCGTCGCGGCGCCGGGGCGGGGGGGGGGGGGGGGGGGGGGGGGGGTCGCGCGGCTCTGTTCTCGTCGCCCCTCGGGGCGCCCTGGGGGCCCTGGAGCCGCCCATCACTGCAGCAGCAGCCCATGGAGCCGCCCACACACAGCAGTGTCGAAATATGTTTGACATATTTTATAACTGCTTGTAGTGGTTTTGTGCTTTGTAGGGTGCACCAATTTTTGTTTCCTATGCTATATGTTCCTTGAAACCTATAGTGAAATCATTTCCTTCAAATTTCTCTTCCAACTCACTCGAACCTCACCCTAGGCACGACCTACTCGACATCCTAGATGGGCCTAGGCTACTAAGCCTAGGCCCTAGTTTAAACTACTCGTTCATTTTACTTTTACAAGTAGCAGCAGCCCTTGGAGCCGCCCACCATTGCAGCAGCAGCCCCCGGAGCCGCCCATAACTGCAGCAGCCGCCCCTGGAGATGGGCGCCCGCGCTTGTAGCACCCCGCCCCAGGACCCCTGCAGCAGCCCGCGGCCCGCCCCTGCAGTTGCTCGTGATGTCGTCCCTGCACCCCATCCCCCCCCCTCCCCCCCCCCCCCCCCCCGTGCTGCCCATTCTCCCGTTCTGCCGTGTGTTCCGCGGTGGTTGGGGGGTTGGGTGGCGAGCATGGGGGTGAGCGGTGTGGACTTTCCCTTCCCTTTCCCCTCCTCTTTTGTCTCCCACTGCTGCAGCTGCCGCTGCAAGGGGGTGGAGGTGTGGGAGCCGTGAGGAGTGGAGCTAGGGGGGTGATGGGGAGTGGAGATAGGGGTGAAACTGGGGTGTGTGTCACGGGGGGTGGGACTGTTTGGGGAGGCTGAGAGG